ATGTCAGCTGGGTCAGAGGCTCGCTTCAAGACTCATCTGCATCGGACAATATGGCAGGGGTAACCTCTTCTACCGTGGCATATTCAGACCAGAACAGCATGTATCCTTATCTCATTCGCAAGCCACTGACTTACTAGCCGTTTGTTGGCTGGCTGGTTGAACCGAAACAACGTGGGGCTAATTCTCTGCTCACAGAAACTCGTGGTTAACATAAAGATCTTGCGATGAAGAGAAACCAAAGACGCGCCTCGGCGACTGTTGGGAACCGCTGCAAATGAGCACCAATCTAATGAAGGATATTTGTACTCAACTGCAACGATCGATATCTTCGTTTGTACTCATTTGATGTGATTAAAGAGAGTCAGATTATGAGACGGCGTTCGCGACCGATCCGCCAACAGCCCGAAAACAATTACCACACTCAGATGCTAAATGGAGACCTAGAAACGAGACAAGCCTTACTTACTTGAATCTGTTATTATTCGATTTGGCAGTAGACGCAGCACAGCAATCAAATGATCGCATAAAATTCAGTAATAATAGCACAATAAAACTATATTGAATTTTTTTAGGGCGTGCAACAAACGAGAAACGCGGTCAAGCGACGACAGTTACCACCAACTGCGGTCGGTTGTACAAATAAAATAACTACTTTGTAAATCACCATAACAATAAATAAATAATATACATGTTAAAAGCAACGAAACACGACACAACGATAAAACGCAGAGGCAAAACGCAATAAAGCACAACAATAACAATATGACATTCGCTTCGTTTCGTTTCGAACATGATTCATGAACGTCACTAACCTCCGGTCATAAGCGAAAACGCATTATCATTACTAAAACCGCAACAGCGTTAATGAACGGTGCAAAACTGTTAAATACGTATTTATGTCTTCTACATATATGACAATACGACGTTATGATAATTAAACTGCTAAATTAAATAAGCTGCCCAAACAATCGAATCGAGCACATCAAGGAAGACGGATAAAGACCAGCGTTTCAAAAGACAGGTAGAAAGTAAAAGTAGTAGAACTTTGACGTGTCAAGCGGTCCACCAGTCACCTAAATTGGAGGGCAACTTACAGAATACTTTCACACACCATGAATCAACCGTTTGCTTTCAGTATATGCTAACAGCTAACAGAAAAACAAAACCGAGAGAACGAAATGACAACAAAACAGGCAATCAAAACGTTCGAAAAACTGCGACAATTGATACTCGAACTGGGTCAATAACAGAGTAGCAGACACAAAACGCCATCTTTGTTCAGGAGATACACGGAAAAATAAAGAAAGTTCATTATACATTCTTCTGAGATAAATACCGATGGTAACCCGCAATGCCAATGCTTCGGTTTGAGTTTGTACGTAAGCGATCCTTCTCCTACAGTATGCATAAGACGTATAATATACAGTAAGGGGCAGTAAGTAGTACAGTAAGAAACAAAGTCGAACTAATGTTAACAGATTTGGCTAACTTATAAAGCGATACTGCTCCTGGAGATAAATCCACTGTGATAGGTAACGTCAGAAGAATTTTATATACAGCGTACCTATGCGAAATAAACCATCAAAAACTATCTCGAACATAGGGCTTACTCAGTAAATAGAACGTTTGACCCAGAACTAATAATTCCAGGATTCGAGTCCTGGTCAGGACATGTGCCTTTATTCTTTTTTAGGTCAATAAATGAGTATAGTTCTGTGGGAAAGAAAAAGCAGACTTTACACTATACTTGCGATCAGCCATTGTGAACTGTGAGTGTAAAACTACCCACTTGTGGCAGATGGTTTGGAAACGAAGATCAGCGCCTCACCGTTAACTTCATAAAAGTAAAGACACCACAAATAGCCATACCAAGAAAGTATAAGACAGGCATACCAGCAGTTAAAAGCTTTCCTTACTTTTCCATTTTCCTAATGAACAACAGCCAAAGATGCAATAACAATAACAGAAACAGGTGCATAACCCTCCAAAATCAGATCTTGAGGCATATTTTCATTGCACCACCCAATGGCTCCAAAATGTTACGAGGTCATTTAAACTGTACAAATGTGTATTTGAGTACCAGTACACAAATGCGTTTTGCACCATTTTGTTGAGATCATCAGCTTTCGCCGTTTGCATAACGAGGACTTTTTTAGCCTGTGATGTCAGCTGTGTCCACAGCTTTACAACACATTTGTTATAAGGCAGTGGATACTGCATCATGGAAGGAATGCAGATCTGCCTCTACTTTGCCCTCCTTATGTTGCATGCTGGCCAATTGGTCGACGTCTCCCGTGTTTCGGCTCCCCAAAAAGACAAGCTCACGGGCTTTAGCAGATGATGCAATGCACACTCAACTAGTTTGTTCAACAGAGCCAACCCATTTTACCTATCTTCACATCTACCATAGTCATCTGTGCCCGGAAATGAATGGAGCATTTCCTTACATACTCCTGCCATTTAACGATCATTATGCGCCGAGGTCGTCGTTGCTGTTCGTTTGTTAGAACAACTGTCTCTGTGTCGTATAACAACACTGACCTCACAAAAATAAGGTACAAGATGATGTTCATAAGAACACTAATTGCTTTCTCAATGTAAATAATGGACAGATTTCCAAGAACACTTCAGTCTACGGCGATCGTTCTATCTACCTCTGGTTAAATAGTGCCATCGCTGAAGACGATGCAGACGAGGTAATAAAATTGGTCCAACTCCTAAAAGTCTTCATCTCTGAGTTCTACTTGTAGACTAACTTTTGATTTCCGGGTGTTAAAGATGAGGTTGGTTTTCGCAACTGTATGACATATGGAGGCCGTCAGGCGATAGAGCCCACTTTTCGTACTACTCAGCAGAACAATATCATCTGCGTACTGCAGATCAGCAAGACATCTAACCGGACACTTTGAATTCCACCTTTCATCTAGAATGACACCTTCGCCTTTACTATGGTCAACAAAGTTTCGTAAAAGAAAGTCGAGAACAATGTTCAATAACACGACGAAGAATACCTCCCTGGTGAACACCATATTTAATAGGGAGCCACTCACGCAGCTCTCATTCAACTTTGGCAGCAGCCTTCGTTCTTGCACACATCTCTCCCAAAGTGAAAACGATGTGCTCAGCAGCACTTCAAGATTTTCTACATCGTCGGAAAACATAGTAAATCAAATACATCCCTTTAATGTTGGGCATGGCAAGGTAATCGTTGATTTACTGAATGGTCCTGCATAGAGTGAAATTTTGGATCTGGCAGGAGTACCCTATCCGGGAGCTTGCTGCATTTTAACGAAATTTCGCATCAACTGCCTGTCTCAACCTTTCCAGAATATTCCAGGTTAAAAGTTTCCTGAAAGTTGACAATAGTGATACTACGGTAACTGAAATAGTCGGTCATTCGACCCCCTTCAAATAGAAAAACAGTTACTCCACAGTTCCATTTTTCAGAGAAACGCTTGCAGGTTCGTATTTGATGAAACAGGGCATGGAGCTATTCTACCATTCTCACTGCTCCAAACGTAATCAATCTCGCAGGCCTTCTTCATCATATGGTGTAGTAAAGCCTTTTGGATTTCTAGTCCTGTGGATGGATCTGTACTAAACTTCAGTGTTGGCAGAGAAACACGTGTCGCGACTGACGAATTTGCATGGCAGTCAACGAGCAGCCCATCTTTTGAGGCGTTCTTTCTGACATGCAAATAGGACACCCTTAGCGTCTTGGACAAGTGCACACTGAGTCCCCTAACTACAGGAAAAATATCTTACCCCCTTATGAACACTGTTCGCCACTCACCCGTTCTGGCAACCTTGTCTATCTTCCTGATTTACCTTGCCGAAATTGTGTCTACTAATTCAATCCGTTGTCGATGTATTCCCGGAGAGAATCCGTAAGTACGAAAGCAAACGAGAAAAACGCAAGTAGGTAAGTAAGCAAGTACATACATAAGTAAATCGATGTATAAATGTTGCAAATAAATAAGTAAATAACGTTGCTGCTAAGTCAACAAACAAGTAAATAGGTAAATAAATATCATCCATTGCAAGTTGAATTTATACCCATTTACACTGCTTCTCCGCTACTGCCAGTGAGGGAGAATATCAAATAAGCGACATTTCTCTAGACTCACAAAGTGCAGTCGCATCGCCCTTTGGGTACTAGTGGCATAGAAGAATTTCAAGCAAGTCATAGCTCCGTGAAATTATAGCCCTGTAATGCACTGATGCAAATGCGCAGTACTATACCAGGCTGAAGAGCAAACTATTAAGGCGATTTCCACTATGACATGGGCCTA